TCCTGGCATGCCGCCTCCGCCCAACCCACAGAATCAGCAGCAAAATCAACAGCAATAGTGTGGGTACGCCCCTTTATCTTCGAAAATCAGTAGCATTACTCCCTTCGTGTCCTTGAAATATCAAACAAATTTGTTTACCGAGGCTAGAATTTCAATTCTTCATTTTAGCTGTCGCAACAAAACGTGCGATCATAGAAGTCCAGTATATACCGATCTATACTGTCTCTGCTCAATGGCCAATTTATTATGCATCAGATCAAAATTTAGGAGCACTCGGGTTCTATTCAAATATATTTCCTGGATTCTCGAATTAGAAATTAAATTAGTGTATGGTTGCTTAGGAGTTAGGACTGCCTCTGAAGGTTGTCACTTTAAGCCGTTCAACTACCACTTTCGTGTAGGCGGGCTCTATTTTCGACAAGAATTTTATTCTAACTTATCTCCGGATTTAGTTTCCTTGGCAAGGCTAAGGTTATCTGGATTAAAATCTTGGGTCTACTTTAGGGTTATTTTGCTTGAGAGAAGTTGTAAAATCTTCTAAGTCTAGGAACAGGGCTGAGGTGAGAAACTTGTGTTTTCCTTAGTGTCTCAATGGCGTTCATTGTCTAAATGTATGTTTTTTAACGTAGGATTCAACTTTAGAACTTTTATTTATCTCTTGAAAAGAACAGATGTCTTCTCATTCCCTGCCCTTGTATGTTTTTTTATGACATATGTTCATACTCTTGGGAATCAATCTAGGTTGTTCGATTCTAGATTGAGAACCCAATGAGACGCAACATTAATCTATCTCAATTGTTTATCTTGGATTGGACCTTACGGAACCGCTTCATTCTGTTATGGTAGCAAATAATTATTCATGGAAATGGGTGAAACTTCCTGCCAAGGGACTGATATCTTTCTGACATATTTTATTACTCTTGGTAATCTGTCTAGGATGTTCAATTCTAGAACCAGCTCTTGAGAACCCAACGAGACCCATCAATATTCTATCTCTATTGTATGTTTTGGATCTTACAGAACCGATTTACTGTGCATAGTAGCAATAGTTATTCATGGAAGCGGATTAAATTTCTGCCAAGGCACTAATATCTTTTTGATGAGCCGGCACTGAGAATACCGTTCTGGGCAGAAATAAGATGAATTTGCTTTCAGTTGATAGTTGCTCATGGTGAATCAGTTAAACTATTACAAATATACTGTACTGTACATGATAATTGCTGAAGGAGTGTAACAGTTTGCATAAATGGTTTTAAGAATCAAACCAAATGTGCAAGAAGCTGACATAACCAACTTGGTTTGGTCCCTTTTTTGCTTTTGCTTTACACCCCTAAATGCTATAAGACCACATGACAAAATTTGGAAGTATCACTGACAAAGAACCTAGAAACAAGGTATATTAGAATTGGAGGAAACACCAAGTTGGAAAGATGTAGTAGGTTGGAAAGAAAGTTACAGGATATTTTCTGCCCTGCGTACTTCTTTTGTCCTTCTCTTGTTATTTTGTGCGTAGGAATTAGGAAACTTTTGCTTTAATGGTTCCTATGCAATTTTATAGTACCTCACAGTAGGTTTTTTCTTCACTGCTTTGTGCTCAGGATACCATAGCTTTTCTGATTCTATTATAAGTAATGGTATTTTGATAATGCCCTAAGTGAGCCTGTAAGAAAAATTAACATTGTTGGGGCTTTTGTCTTCCAAATTGCCTGGACAGGTCCTTCAATTAGAACCAAACACTTTTTGTTAATATGAAAGAAAAGAACACAGATTTATTGAATGAAGTACCTGCATTAGGATTTAGTGATTTGACTAAATATTACTATCAATAAATGGTGTGTCTTAATGGTCTCTTGAGATGGCAAAAAAACCCACAGGACCCGATCCCCACGGGTACCCAACCCGATCGGGTTGGGAATCCCCGGTTTGAATGGGGACGGAGTCAAACCAGGGATCTTAGTCGGGGTCCCCGGCGGGGACGAGGAAGGTCTCCCCACCCCACCCCGTCTAATATTTTATTAGTTTTTATATATAATAATATTAATATATTAATTTTAATAAATACTTTTTAATTTTTTTGAAAAAAAGTCCAAGCTCAATGCTCAATTAGCCATTTCTTCCTTTACTTTTAACACCCATTAAAATAAAAAAAATAAAAAATAAATATATTTATCGGAGACGAAACCCATCCTCGATCGGGGAATCCCTGCCCCGTCCCCGCTCCCAAAATTTCGGTAAGGGGTGGGGATGGGGGAAAAATCCCCAACGGGGCGGGGATGGCGTCCCTGGGTCTCCTTGCCAAGTTGCAATAATAAAATAGCCTTTCCAAATAGAAATTTGTTATGCTATTGTTAATTTGTTTTGTATTGCATGAATATTTCCTCCAAGAGGATGTTCATTTTCCAATTTCATAGTTCGTAGACTGCGTAGTCCTTGTTATTGATGATTGTTAAATGACTTCCTCAATTTAAATCTGACATTAACTCAGAAATTCATTGTGATCTTAAAAATTGCGACCATATTGTGGCGCTCTGTGGTTTCTATTGATAGATAGGATGGAAGATGCACTAACCATCGTTTATTCCTTTCTTGATGCCTTGATGGCACTTTGAAGTGTATATTTTATTTTACCACTTAGGAGCGAACTGGTCTGCTTTATGCCCAGATTGTTTGTTCTCCACTTTCTCTATCTCTAATAACAACTCTGTTGGTAAAATATGCCCCTTGCTCACAAGATCTGAATGCTTGATAGGTATGGTGAGGTGGTATAGGCTGTTACCAACTTACCATATGAGTCGTTACCACCTGATTCTTCAAACCAAGACAATATTCTGCAGGATTTTGGGGAACTTTTGGTCATCTTATGTTCTTGATTTTAACATTTTACAAATTTACAACTGTTAAAGAATTCTAAATTTTGTCCAATATTGCAAGATTATCTTTATCACGCAATTTTATATTTTGTTGCCCTCAACATTTCTCAATAATTTTATCATTATTTGTTGCAGACATATTACGTGTGATGCTCTGTGATGGCCTTCAGTGGATATTATCTTGTGTTTGCTTCAACCCGAGTCTCACTTGCCAGGGGCTAAAGCTTGGCTCATCTCCCTGGGTGGAATCTCTCTTCAAATTTGTGTTGATGCTGTTGTAGGATTCGAGAATGTACTGTTATTAGCAAATTGTGGTCCTCATTTTGCAATTTAACCATTAGATATACTTCGAGAGCAGGATTTTAATGTGAATTGCCAATTCCTGATCGCCATGTCTTTAGGTAGATTCACTTGCCCCCTTCACTTTTTAATCTGTGTTAGGCATTATATAGGTCTTTCAATTACTTACGGACCTAAAGTCTGAATACTACGAACTGAAGGTTCTATATTTTGGGACCTCTCTTTTGTTAAAAGGAGAATATCTATATATTTTTGTGCGTTCATGCGAGTTGCATATCATTTTTTTTTTTTGGTGGTGAAAACATTGTATTGAAGATTAAAAGATCTAGGGGAGGAAGAGGCAACTTCTCAAGCCAAAACTTTCCATTTAGCATGAATGTCAAGTAAAGTATGGTTATCTCAGAAAATGTGCAAATTAACTCCAACATGTTGGAGGAATGAGAGCCATATCTTCAAAGATTCATCAACTCTCCTCAAGTCCAAACTATCTAAATAATAATGGTGGTTCTCTATCCCAAAATTTCTTCCTTTGTTTTGTCAGGGACCCAACTGCCAATAATTGTTTGAACCACACAACGCTCCACCTTTTGGGGGGCATCTACCAACTAAGATCTGTAGTTTCACAAAAGAAGGCCAAAGTTTCATAGATATAGATTGATTCACTGCTATGTCACTATACCACCAAGGTGGAGATATCAACAGGCCAGGATTCTTCTTATTGACAATGATGGTATGCTTTGTATGTATCCAAATCTATTGAAATTTTCAAATGAATCTGAATAATTCTTGGGTGAAAAATATTTTAGGTGTCATAAATATTGAAAATGGAGCAGCTGGGAGAGGGTTTTTGTTTAATGTGAAGGTTAGGCCACCATTATTTTAACTGCAATACATGTTTGTTGATTACTAACTTTAACACATGGAGAAGGGGAATCAAAATGTTGCAAGAAAGATGTTTTCTATGGTCTTCATTTCTCAGATGGCGTGAGTGTTTGCATGTTTCTCTTTGTTGAGACATTATAATTTGTTTGTTCCTTTTAGATTTTTGGCTGAAATTTTATGATGGGTTTCTAAAAAAAACATAATTAAAAGAAAAATGATTGATCAAAAGCATCCTTTCATTAGTAGGCATTGTATGTATTTAGAGAGATGTGATAAAGTACATACTTGTATTTGCAAAATGATTGGAAGTATAATGTTATTTCAGAGTTATATTTACCATTTTTACTACCAAATCTCTTCAATCATGTTAGAATTTGAGAAAACAAAATGTTAGTACTTTCTTTCTAAGCTTGTGAAAAAGATGCATATTTCATATAGCAAGTTGTGGGAGACAGGATCTTTTTGTCATTTTTCAAGGTGGGTTTTTTGCTATATATTTACAAAAATGTAGGTAAAAATTTCCTGAATTTTGATATCTTATAATGTCACAAATTCCAAATCTTATTATGATGTGAAGAAAAGACTCAGCTTTAATACTTTTCTTTGCTACACATGGGGGAAGGTTATTAATGAAAATCAAAGAGGAAGTGATGTAAATGATTGTGGAATCAGGTTTCTGTAGAGAAAGTCAAGACTACTTGAAAAATATCCCTCAAATTGCAATGTAGCTTTTATGTTCTTTAGAAATGGTCAGCTACTCATATGATGGGCTTTGGATGGGCCTACCACTTTGACAAATTTTAAACAGTTCTTTGAAGAACAATCATACAATTGATTTTAGAATCCCATGCCTGATAGAGTTGAGATTGTATATTTACCTTTGCCTTTTCCCCTTCCCAACTAACTCATATATCAAACCCTATTACCTTTATCCCAGGTCAATTCTATATGGTACAAATTTTTAATTTTACACCTTCATGTGGATAAAATCACGTAAATCAATCATAGACCACAACATAGCAAGATAGAAGGAGTAAACTGAATTTGATTAAATATGCATGTTCTTCCTTAAATGGCAAGATGGAATGAGTACACTAGGGTGACCGGAAAGATGCCCCTCCTTGAATTAAATTGGGTGAGCATATTAGATCATAACACAATAAGTTTTCTTCTTCAAAGAGCAAGGAAGAATCCACGAAATTTTGTTAGGTAGGTTTGTAGCTCATCTAAGTACAAAATCCTCTCGTGCCTAGATATTCTCATGAATAGATGGAAGAATCTTATGCATAGTTACTCTTAAATTAAAATCCATTTTAAGAAATTTAGCTATTTTTATCAAACGACACTTGAGAAACAGCTCTATATGGATAACACATACTTCATTAAACTAAAATAAATGAACAGCATGCTCTCAACATAATAAAATAATATATCTATTGACTACATAAATGAATATTAATGAAAGAAGTATGTACGGTAGGAGTACTAAAATAGTTTGTCATCAATAGTCGAACAAATTCTTTACCAATTTGGAGAAAGTATCTCACGAGTCAACAATAGTCAAAATTGGGTATCCTTAATTATTCAAGAACCAAAAGAATGCTTAAGTATTTACGACGGGTAGCATGTTTAAATAGGACAAAGTAGATGAGGTTTAGCCAAATACGTCATCTTTGTGATCATATTCCCTTTAACTAATAATACGGTGCTAAGATTATATAATTTTTGCCACAAAGTCCAATATTATACACTAATCAAATATTAATTAACAGTGATTCTCAAATTGAAATTGCAATCATATATCTGTTAAAAGTCCAAAAGACAATGAATTAAATAAAAGATGGTCTTCAATTTTATTCAGACAATAAGGAAAAGAAACAGTGGGTTTTCACAAAAGTAATCTATGATATTCTTCATTCTCTCTAATTGCAAATTAACTATAATAAAACAAAATTAAGTAAAAAAGGGAAACTTGAGATGGAGGGGAATATAATATATATATAAAGACCATATCCACTGAATTCGCACTTTTGGCACGTGCGAGCGCCCAAAGACACCACCGACCCACAATACACACACCCACAACTCTCTCTCTCTAGAAATTTCTCTCTCTCTCTCTCTCTCTCTCTCTCTCTCACGGGTGAGCTTAAAAAATCCGAACGTTGGGAGCAAATGGACAGAAAAAGAAAGAAAAGAAAAGGGCTAAAATTTATGGGTTAGGGGTGAGAGGACCTATCATTTTCTCACACGTACCCCTCTTTTGCATCGCACAACGTCTTTGTTCCCTCTGTACTTCCATGGAATTTCATAGTATACTATATATGTTAATAAAAATTCAATCTTTATTATGAAATCTTAAGCTTAAATTTATGTTTCAGTGTGGGTCATTACTATAATATGAGATTTCAATATTAGAAGCCATTTTGTTTAACATTTTTGGAAATGGCTGTCAGATTTTGTGGTGATATTTGTTTGAATTAAAATTTCCAAAGTTCCAGAAATCTTTTCTTGACACCCAAAAAGTGCCCCTCGGAGTCAGATCTTAGAATAAGAACAAAGAAAATGTTTTTGCCTCTTTACTTGGATTACTGCTCCTTCACTCTCCAGCTCTGCCTCTGTCTGCCTGTATTTATCTGTATTTTCTTCGCCTTTCATTTTTTGGCTTTGATTAAACAAAACGTTCAAATTCACATTACCCAAGAAAGTCTATTTTTTTCCTTTTTTTTTTCGTTTTGCAGATTGGCTATTCCCCTCCCAAGCCATTAATACCTCTTCTTCTCTCACCTCCTTTACCTTCTCTCTCTCTCAATACCCTCACTGGGTGCACAAAAAGTGAGCTAAAGTGGGTTCTTTATCACCGAAAAGAAGAAGGGTCTGTTTTCTGGCCATTATTATCACTTCCCCATTTGAGAGGGGAAGTTTTCATGGCTGTTTTCTTCCATTGTCTTCTTGGAACTATTAGCCCTTTAGATTAGAGTCTCTTGTTTCGTGTTGGTGGTGCATCTCTTGTTCCATTTGAGTACCCAAAAATGACCGTGAGTCTGTGAGCAAGCTTCTTCTTCAAGATATGGAGGGAAGGAGCTTCTGATACACTGAAGAGAGTGTTTTCTTGAGTTTTAATTACTGTTTCCCAATGGATATTATTCACTGTGCCCGTCTACTATGTGTTGTCTGTTTTGGGATGTTTCTATGCGCATCTTGTTTGGACGAATTCGATGATTCAACAGCCGTGTACATTGTAACTCTCAAGGAACCTTCTGCTGCTACTCATTATTATGGGGAGCTTAGAAAAAATACCACTTCTTTTAGAATTGGTACTTCTGGTGGATTAAGCATCCACAAACCAAGGTACTTCTCCATCACTCTCTTCCCCATCTCTTTTATGTTTGCATTCGGCAGCTCTAAGCTCCTCATTTTAATTGTCTACTGGATTTAATATGATGAAAACTTGTGGTATAAGACACTTGCAATTACAGTAATTTTCTTAAATATGAGTTGTTGATATGTTTTCCTTTTGAAGAAGTTTATATTGGTTACTTTTTTCTGGGTTTTGGAAGTATTTCTTTATTGCCTTGTCAAATTTTCTTTTCTTGGTCATTTGGTACTTCTGTTTTGTCTAGTGAGGATGCAGAATTTGTGTTATCATTACATGTAGTCTTGTTGCATGTAATAGTCTTATATCTTTGTTCCTCTGTAATGGAGTTCCATGAAAATTATCCCACAACCTTGTGGAAACTTGTATATCTTCTACCTATTTTGCTAACTTTTGTTTAATGTATTATCAATGGTTTTGTTGTTATGTAGTATAAAATTATTCCCTGGATGAGCAAATAATAATCATTGAAGAGGTTAATATTTATTAGACTATAGTGGTTGTGATTGCTCATAAGTTTGCTCATCCTCTGTTTAATTTATTTCTATCCTCTTACAGGAAGTGTAACTATGGCTTTTTTAAGATTATATTTTAAACTTTATTTTCTAATGTTTTCTATTTAGAAATATATCAAGAACACATCGAAGATATAGCTCTTACATAGCCCGAATTCATGATTCGTTATTGAGGAAGGTCTTGAAGGGGGAGAAATATCTGAAGCTGTACAGTTACCATTTCTTGATCAATGGATTTGCTGTGCTTGTTACCCAAGAACAGGTATAAGATTTTAACATATTCTCTACTTTTTGTATCATCATCATTATTTCCCTACTCTAAACAATGATGGTGTTTAAATGTTAGTGTTTATCTGATAAATTTGCTCGGAAGAAATTATGTACTAGCTACTAACACTTTGGTGTCTAAGAAACGTACTATGATGAACTTTTTACCCTTTGTGATGTCTTTGTATTTATGTTTAAAGATGTATCAAGTAAATTTTAATTTACTGGTATCTTTAAATTTGAAGGCAAATAAACTTTCAAAGAGGAGAGAGGTAGCAAATGTTGTTCTGGATTTCTCAGTTCGAACCGCTACGACCCATACCCCACAGTTCTTGGGCCTCCCGCAGGGAGCATGGTCTCAAGATGGTGGCTATGAATCTGCTGGAGCTGGAATTGTGATAGGGTTCATTGATACTGGCATTGACCCTACACACCCCAGCTTTGCCGACGATTTGACTGATAATCCGTTTCCTATTCCGTCTCACTTCTCTGGAATCTGTGAGGTAACTCCAGATTTTCCATCTGGGTCATGCAACCGGAAGCTTGTGGGAGCGCGCCATTTTGCAGCATCAGCTATAACAAGAGGAATATTTAATGCATCTCAGGATTATGCGTCACCATTTGATGGTGATGGACATGGCACGTAAGTATTTCCTTGTCTGAAAGCTTTTCCTTGTCTGTATGCAACTAAAATTTCTGTTTGTCTTTGTTCCTCGTTGGTCATGACATCAGATACCCTGTTCCTCGTTTTTAGATTTTGAACTATGCAAATAATATATATAATTCCTTTCCATAACACTAGTTCTATCTGTAGAGGAAGGCTTTTCAGATGGTGATGAGAACTTTATTCTTGGTTTGTTTGCTTTGTGACATTTTCTTCAAGGAATGTATAATCTTGTTTTTCATGTAGACTTCTGCTTTCGAGGATTGTAAACATGTTAAATTCTTCTACTCTCTCTCCCCCTCCCTCCTTTTGACTTTTTGTCTTCTTCTTCCCCTTTTTCTTTTCCACTGGGTTCGTCACAGTAGATCCTCAGTTATTCTTTGATTTCTTTTCTAAAAGAAAATTCTTTCAGTTGCCTCCCTAATTTAGCAATTTATGTATTTTATTCAGCTAAAACTGGTGCGACCGTATATATGCAGGCATACAGCTTCAATTGCTGCTGGAAACCATGGCATTCCAGTGCTAGTTGCTGGGCATCACTTTGGGAATGCCAGCGGGATGGCTCCACGTTCACAGTAATTAATCTGGACTTCGGCCTTAATTGTTCTTAGAACTTTTTTTTTTTTTTTAATTTTTAATTTGCTATGTTAATTTCCTAAATAGCCGACACTCTAAAGTACATATTAATGCATAAGTTGCAATTATTTCCTTGTTTGAGTGCTTACTTGTGCTCCTCTATTCAGTATTGCTGTTTACAAAGCACTGTACAAAAGCTTTGGAGGTTTTGCTGCTGATGTTGTGGCTGCTGTTGATCAGGTTTGTATGATAGGTTTGGTTGTTTTTCATTACAAAAACAGAAAAATAAAACTGACGGTGGTTACAAAACTGAGGATGCAGCACTATTTGTTCTGCTATATAGTAATCTATGATGTTCGTTCTTTGTAGGCTGCTCAGGATGGGGTGGATATAATAAGTTTATCGATCACACCGAACAGGCGGCCTCCCGGTATTGCAACGTTTTTCAATCCCATAGACATGGCGCTACTCTCTGCAGTAAAGGCCGGTATATTTGTTGTGCAAGCAGCTGGGAATACTGGACCAGCACCAAAGAGCATGTCTTCATTCAGTCCATGGATCTTTACTGTCGGCGCTGCTTCTCATGATAGAAGCTACGCTAACTCTATAAGCCTTGGCAACAATGTCACCATTCCGGGAGTTGGACTTGCACGTAAGCCTGTCTCCTGTGTTTACACCGCTCTTCCATTTTAAGAAAAATGGAGGATTTCATTTTCAATTCGTCTCGATTCAGCTTATATCATGTTTAGAATTTGACTACAAAAAGGAAAACTTAGTGAGGATAATAGCTATTGGAGACAGCTCCAGTTAGTTTTAAATCAATATGATATCAGTAGCCTACAAGACCACATGGAAAAATAGTACAATCTATGAAATCGAGATCATCCATAGAGTTTCGAAATGAACAGTTCAAAGAAACCTGCAAGCTTAATTCAAGAAAAAGTAGCATTTTCAAACTGTAGGAAAAATAAGGTCATCCATAGAGCTTCCTTATAGTGCTACCTGTATTACAATATTCTCTGCAGTATCTGCTTCCATCTATTATTTATTCCTGATCAAGATCCTGTCTTTTACTTTCCCCTGTTCTCTAATAGTCTATTCAATGTTTCTTGCTTTACTTTTAATGATATTCATGCAATTGCAAGCAACTTGAATAAATGGATGCTCCTATTTTCTTGGTAGATAAAATCTAATTCTTGTTCCTCCTATTCAGCTGGAACTTATAATGACACGATGTACAAACTAGTTGCTGCAATACATGCTTTGAGCAATGGCACAAACGTTTCGGATGACATGTATGTGGGTGAATGCCAAGACGCCAGTAATTTCGATCGGGATCGAGTGGAAGGGAACCTTCTAATATGCAGCTACTCAATCAGATTCGTGCTCGGGCTTTCCACAGTTAAACGGGCTTTACAAACCGCAAAGAACTTGAGTGCTGCTGGTGTCATTTTCTATATGGATTCTTTTGTCATAGGTTTTCGACTTAACCCAATTCCAATGAAAATGCCTGGCATCATAATTTCATCACCAGAAGACTCCAAGGTTGTGCTTTACTTATCTAAAATAATAAGTTCTGAATTGTTTGGTTGTCAAAACCTTAAAAATGGATTAGGTTCAAGTTCATAATTAGCTCCCTTCCACATCCTTGCTCTTGGTTCTGAAGTTTAGGATTTCTTTGGCAGATACTTCTCCAATACTACAACTCCTCTTTGGAAGTAGATGGATTAACAAAGAAAATCTCTAAATTTGGAGCTGTTGCTTGCATATCTGGAGGATTAAAGGCAAATTATAGCACTTCCGCCCCACAAATTATGTATTATTCTGCTAGAGGACCTGATCCAGAAGACAGTTCTCTTGATGATTCTGATATTGTGAAGCCCAACTTGGTAGCTCCTGGAAATTCCATATGGGCTGCCTGGAGCTCTGTTGCCACTGACTCTATCGAATTTCTCGGTGATCATCTGCAACACTTATGATTCGACACACAACATTAAAATTCAGACATGAATATTAACTTTTACAAACTCTTTAGGTGAAAACTTCGCAATGATGTCAGGAACAAGCATGGCTGCTCCTCATATTGCTGGCCTTGCCTCACTCATAAAGCAGAAGTTCCCTAGTCTTAGTCCTTCAGCCATTGCATCTGCGCTATCCACAACTGCTTCTCTTTACGACAGGACTGGTGGACCGATCATGGCTCAGCGTGCTTATGCTAACCCCGAACAGAACCAGTCTCCTGCTACGCCTTTTGATATGGGAAGTGGTTTTGTAAATGCAACTGCAGCTCTCAACCCGGGATTGATCTTTGATTCTAGTAAGTAACTCATCTAACATTGTAGCCTGCAATTTTGAGGATTACTATGATGGAACACTGCTGGTTCGTTAATAGACACGAGATAGAATCCGATCATTTTGGTTGTTTGCTTGTAGGTTACGATGATTACATGTCATTTCTTTGCGGTATCAATGGATCAGCTCCTGTGGTGTTCAACTACACGGGCCAGAACTGCAGAGTTTACAATTCTAGCATCAGTGGAGCTGATTTGAACTTGCCTTCTGTCACGATCGCGAAACTCAACCAGTCGAGAGTAGTGCAACGATCTGTGACCAACATTGCTGGACCTGAGTTTTATAGTGTTGGTTGGAGTGCTCCTTATGGGATTTCTTTGAAGGTTTCTCCAACTCGATTTTCAATCGGCAATGGCGAGAAACAAGTGCTAACCATATTCTTCAACGCCACGATGAACAGCTCGGTCGCTAGCTTTGGTAGAATTGGACTTTTTGGGAGTGAAGGCCATATTGTCAACATTCCTCTTTCAGTGATTTCGAAGATCTCATATAACAATACTACTAATTGAGAGAGTTGGAGGCAAAAAAAGATGATTGAATGTATTTTATTTGTTACCTTCTGCTGCTCCTCTGCTCTGCCTTTTTTATTCCTTTCTTTTTTGAATAATTTGGAGGGTGTGTTAACCAATTTTTTCATTCATTTTTGGTGTACATGTTTTGTGATGTAAAAGGAAAAGCTAGCAGCTGTCTGTAATGAAGATTAAGATTCAAAAGGGAGGTAATAACTGAGTTGATTCTCTCTCTCTCTTATTTATAAATACCGCTGTGAAAATTTGATGGACGGTATAGATTGAATTCATCGAACATATATGACGACCAACTTAAATTAATTACTTAGGTTCAATAGAACATAAATGATTAAGTTAAAGTTAATTACCATGTAACTATTTTATTTTTGATTTTCTGTTCTTAAAAATTAAACCACTATTTTCACTCATGTATTCATTTTGTTGTAAAGTTTTTTTCAAAATCTAATCTAAAATTTGAAAACTAAAAGGTAGTTTTCAAAATTTTTTTTTTATTTGGCTAAGAATTCTGTTCTGAATAAAGTTGAAAAAGCAAAATAAAGAGACTAATCGATATAGCTCAAATACATATTATGCATGTTAATACCTTTTTATATATATATATATATATATATATATATAAGAAACACTTCATTAAAAAGGGGATGAAAAGAAAAACAACCTAAGGACAGGGATGAGAAGGCCCCTTCCAGCAAAACTAAAAGAAAATAGCTCTCCAATTGTAAAAAACGTTGAAATGCAATAATTACAAAAGAATTTTCTATTCTCGTGACACCACCAAGAAGCCAATAGACAAATGTTAATACACATACAAGAATTTTCTATTCTTGTGACATCAACATGTCAATGCACGTACTTGAAGCAACATTATTTATTTGTTAAAAGCAAAATAAAGACATTAGATAATAAAATTAGGAGCAAAAATGGGAGAAACCTTAGATTCCAAATATCATATTTTGATATTTCGAAGGTTTAGAAATCAAAATGAAAAAACCTTAAAACGTCAGGGACCAAACCCATCCTTTTAGTAGAATTCAAATCAGAATTGACAGTCGCAACTTAGAAGTAGACTGAAAACTATGTGCAGAAAGTAGCCATATTTTACCTAACCTTTCTTTATCACTGAATAGGAAGAGAGATGAATGCATAAAATATGGCAAAAAAAGGTAAAAAACCAACAAAATCCAAAATGCATATTACCAATCAAGGAAACAGAAATTACAATTCAACGTTATTACTCATATTTACCTGAGGGGAGATACGATGTATGTATAAATATTTTTACTTGCGAGACAGCTCAATGACTCGGTACAGAAATCACACGATAGATACAGTACAGACCCTTCAATTCTTCTGGTCCACAATATACATCACATTCACAGGGTAAAAAGTTCTCTGAACCTCAAATTGAAGTTGACTCAAGAATGAATGGTGACCTCAAGGACACTTCGGAGACAAACTATACAGAAATTTCCATAACCATATTCCATATTCATATTCCAAGCAGTATAGTAATGTACTAGATATTAAGATCGCTTCCTCCCATCTCTTTTAAGCCGCTAATAGTAGATGCCATCAATCACCATCATCTCACCATGTTACCTTTTATCTGTTGTCACACCGACAACAACATTGCTCACCTATCATTCAGAGTATTAGTCGACACATTTCATCGTTGATAATGAATCAGAGAAGAATCGATTCTAAAGAGGGTATAGGGAAAAGAACCAAATGAACAGCATCAATACTTACCAATTTGCCACTTTCATCAACAGACATAGGGTTCTCAACTACGACAGTTTGGCTCTGAGACTGCAAGAAGTGAAAACAATGATCAATCCCAAATCAATTATGCCGTATAATCAGAATTACAAACCCACTCAGTGCAGAGGCCGGTAAGGAAGGTCATAAGAGAAATGAAAAGCTTGAGAACATACTGATGATGCAGGAGGCATTCCAGAGCTAATTGTTCCATTACGCCTGTGCACTGGAATAGGAACCCTCACATTGGATATCTGCAAAGAGACATTAATGGAAAAGGTATGAACGGACAGAAAGATAACTGTACCACCTTGGGCTATTGGAAAGTTTATAAACTAAACGTCTTGAATATAGGTTTCTTTATGTGTGTTTTCAAGTTCTCTACATTTTGGTTCTTCCTTAATATTCCCTATCAACCCATCCAGAAAGTGGGGAGATTATTTGGGAATGAAACAAGTATATGACTACTACAAACTGTAACACCTTAGTTTTGACCACAAAATCTAGTTGTATCCTCCCACGCTAGTCAACATTTACTTAAGCCACATCGAAACTAGTCTAAGCTGCTTTCCAAAATTAAAATAAAGAATATTAATTAATGATGAGGGAGGCACACAGAAGAAAGTTTTGCTTGATATCAAGAGAAGAGAATACTTCCAAACTATCACATTCAGCGACTCAACTAACTAAATATATCAAGAAATTTCAGATGCCTCTCAAAAGAAATGGATTATACTTACACCAACATTAGTAACATATTGACAGATCGCACACTTGACAGATGGAGCTCCATATGGAAAGACAAGTGTTGTTCGGCAGTTTCCACAGTTAACATGCGCAACCTGGTTCGTTACTTTTTTTTAAACAGTCACAACACCCAAACATGACAGCTCAGTAATCTAGCTAACGATTGTAACATAATAAAAATTTGAGCATCTAATAATTAATAGCATATACTAAATCTTTCAATTCTTTTGGTCAATTTGAGGGCTTTTTTGTGACCTGTGGTTTGGGGTTTTTCCCCCTCACCAACATTAGTACATTTCGTTTATCAATGTTTCTCTTTCAAAAAAGAAAAAAATTAATAGCATAAGTTAGAAACCAGCATAAACAAGACTAGAATTGGCACAAATAAGATCCCACTTCCCAACTGGGAAAAGGCAAATTTTCATATCCCAAGCAAGACTACTCCTAAGAAGGAACATAAAAAACAAATCCTGTAGGTTGCAACTTGCAACCATAATAATAAAAAAAAGATTAAGAACAAATCTTGTATAGTAATATAAAAAATGAAATACAGCAACAGTACTTGAAAGAATTGACAAGTAACAACACAACCGTTTTTGTTGTCAAGCAAAGAAAAAAACCTACTTAAAAGATATTATGAACTTGTTTCACAGAAGCATGGAACAGGCAAAAAGAAGAAAAGTGAAGGAAGAAAAGAGAGAAATATGAGGAAATGAAAGAAAACCCGAGAGAATTATAGTGGGAAAACTCAATAATTCAATCATCTCAATACCCAAAGTCTTTAAGTTATTGCTAGTTCACTAAAAAAAAAAATCTCAAACAAATTTAGGGAGCAGTGTCGAATTCAAATATCCATTATATCCTTTAAAAACTAAAAATCAATGATAATTTTCTTATACCAGGTGCAAGGTTCACTGTATGACAGCAGGAGCATCTAACACTTGTTGCCCCACGTGCATACATAAGCAATGTCCTGCAACCTCCACATATAAGTTGAGCCATATCCGTTCCTGCATATTCAAGGCCCAACTCTCTGGTATAAATCTTCAAAAGAGTTACCCAATGACAAATAGCTATGAAGGACTAAAAATTAGTTGCCAGGGCTTATATGGTAACAGGCAAGGAGATACGTTTTAACACCCCAGCAGAATTTAATGGCCAATTTACAAGAAATAAAAAATAACATTAGAAACTAATAAAACAATATTCATCGTGACTAAGTAAATCTAATTCAATTAATTTATTCTGCCCACTACCATATAAAATTGCACCTTTATCAACTAAGTATGAATCTGAGAGAGCCCTAACAGCATCAAGCCAAAGGGCCTCCACCTTGTAATTAAATCTCCATCCATGCCGCACCATTGGGAGTTGCTTAGAACCTCTTCACATAAACATATTCCTTTTTTTTTTAAAAAAAACATACTTCTTCTTGATGAACCTACGAGACCCCAAAGTCGCAAAGGAGCATACATTACAATGCTATTTTCTTGGTAGTTGGTACCTTATGAAATGAAATATACTTTTAGAAATATACTCCTGAATGAACCCCTCCAATTTCATGAAGCAGGTTATATCACAACCCTCTATCAGAATCACAATTGCAAAAGAGACTGTCTAAATTCTTAAAATCACTTCTACACAAAACATCACCAAGAAGAATACCGTAGTGACTTCTTTATCCTTCTCTGGTCACAGTAATCCTACTCAAGAAAAGGCCTATTCCTCGGGTATATTACTTATTGTTTGAAATACTTCTACAAATGAACCCCTAATTCTAGTCTTATAACTAATTTCCCATATTTAATATAGCAAATATTAGAAGTGGATCTTATGTTACTTTTTCTTTTTATAAAAGGGAAAAAAAACAAAAATGAAAGAGACAAAAAAAAAAAATTAACCTCACATAAAAGAAGAAAAAAAAAACAGCCAAAACAAAAGAGGGGCTATTTGAAACTATCAAATTACACAATTACACAAAAGAGTCCCAATTATTGGTAATTAAAAGAAAATGAAAATTCCTAAAAAGGTTAGTTACATTGGTCCAAAGAGAACTATAAACACAGTCAAATTCCATACATCCTCTAAATCTATTTACAGTCTTATGTTACACTTTTAATCAATTGACAGTCTTTCAGATATCTCTTCATCCAAGAGCTGAATAACAGTCTAGTTCTTTTGATGATTATCAATTGGCTCTTGTGAGAATTTGAGGTATTATTTCTTTTTATATCAGTGTGTCCCGGCCAGCTTGTGCACCTCGACCAATCAGGGGCCTGACCTTATTACATTTGGTTGACAAAGAAACTCGTAGGATATTAAATCCTAGGTAGGTGGCCAATGGTTTGAACCCATTCCCTCTAAGTCCTTTGCTATTTATATTGGTCCTTATTGACCCCTGGATCATCCCATGATGGTTGAGAATTTGAGGTATTACTCAAATATAGATAGAAGAAAGATGCACACAATAATTATGCACAGAAGATATTAGCATTCAGAAAAGAAGAAACTAGAACATTTACACTACAAGAAGAAATAATCATGTTATGGGAATGGTACGAAGACCAAATAGTTGGAAACTTGGGATAAATCTTATAAAAAAAAAATTTCTCATGCTCTTGTAAATGATGATTTTTTATAGTTTATGTGTTCACATCATGATAGAACCTTCTTGGGGTCCCTATTTATTTTTTTACCTATACCATCCTAACATCCTTCAATGAGTTGAATTTTCTGTCCATTTAAAAAGGCCATTTTCAGATTAAGATCTCTAATATTTGAAAGGAAACATATTCACCAATAGGATGATAACTTTACTACCCATTATTAATATACATAAAGCTATTAGAGAAGTTCAAGATTCAGTTGAAAGAGACTACATTAATGACCTCACATAAAAAAAACTGCATGATGATCACGCATCTCTAGAACCCTAGTCAATGTTTTTCTTTTTCCTATCCCAATAGCCCATGCGGATTTTTATAAAAATTGTCATTTGTTGTGAATGCCACTTAAACTGTCTATTATTTTGAATAATTTTGTCTCAATGCCATATTTGAATAAAGAAACAAAATAATCACTCGTCTGTCCATTCTACCTCCAGCCCAAACTAAATAGTCGGTCAAGTAGATTATATTTTAACTTTGCAGATTGCATTTATTTTTATAACTTTTATGATACTGTAACATGGCTCTGATACAAAGTGGCTTCCATTGCAAAACTTTCATGACACCTTGAACAACCAAAAGAGGGGAAAAGAATAGATAAGAAAAAAAGTATACCAGGAGGAGGAACCGAGGTGACTGTATTGCATAATGCACAGCATACATTGGTAGCTCCTCCAGGATAAAGAAGCATGCTCCTACACCCACTGCATACAAGTTGGCTCTGCATAGCTTCTACAGCAAGGGGAGAGAGGAAAATATGAGCTCATCAAAAGTGGACCAGCTAACAAAGAACAACATCATAAGGTATATGCAAGATTGACAAAATAAACCTACATACAGTTAACTTCCATGTACAAGAATTCCATATTAAGCAGAATTTTCCTTCAACGAGATCTAATATTAAACGACAACTTCTTTTTTTTTTAAGAACCCGATCTTCCAAAGACATAATGAAAGAACATACAAAGAGCATACAAAAAACAAGCCCGACAAAAGGCGATCGGCCTGGAAGAAGGGGCAATTCAGAAGAATTACATCTAATTGATAATTAGAAAAAACATTCAAGACCGTCACCCACAAATAGGAATTAAATCTAACAATCTCCCAAACTTCCTCCCAAGACCTCTCAACCCCTAAAAATTCTGGTATGCAAGTAAACCGTAAATGTAATTACGGAAAATTGTAACCAGGAAGCACAAGTATAAAAGTAAATCAACCACGCAAATGATTTTTGAGGGGAAAAAAGATACAGAAGAGCTTCGGGGTAAATCGGTCAAGCATGGTTTTCAGATTCTCTTTGCTTTCCTTAACCGGAAAGTTTCCATTACTCGTTCCCTCTTTCGACAATGGTTAATTGACGAATGTAATCTGCCCACCCATGTGAGTTAAGAAGTTCTTCTTGTCCTCAACCCTCTTTGTACAGCTTTTGTGATCAATACATAAATCTCTAATCGAGAGGGGAAGAAAAATCCACACGAACTGCATCATTGTCGCGCATATATATATATGACATTGCAGAATTAAAGGACATCATGTAATTGGGAAATATGCACTATAAAATAATGCATTCCCGCGCAAGGGATATCTCAAAACTAAAAATTAGAAGTCAATCAAATGAAAATTTATCAGGGCAGCAGAAAATATAAAAGCCCAGGACTCCAAAATCAAACAAACAGACAAATCAAGGTAATAGAAATCGATGAATAATCACACCTTCTCCCGATCCTCCTCGCGGGCACCGAATATCTAGAAAAAACGATCACGTTGAAGCCCCAAGGAAGAAATCTATCAATCCCTCGAAAATGCAAGGTCGAAATTAACAACAATCTCATAAAACGAGAAAACCAAAAAGTACACAACGCTGGTGCAACATACACATATAACAATGAAATATAGAGATAGAAAGGGAGGGGAAGAACCTGAAAATGGAGGACAAGAGAATGAAAATTGGTTAGTTATGAAGAAGATGATCGCAGAGGTGGAGCTATGGAGGAGGCCGGCTTAAGCGGATGAGGATGGAAGCGAGAACCGCGGTTGAAAATTGAAATGGCAGAGAATGGGATAGAAAAGGAAGACGGTAAGATTGAAGAAACGAAGAAGAATATTTCTTTTTTCCTTTTTTCCTCTTTAAGAAAAAATAGAATTAAAAAAAAAAAAAAAAGAAAAAAGGAGTAATTTCGGCGATTTTTACTTTCTCTCTTTTGAATGAATATTATAAGAGAAGAGCGCGTGGAATGCGTCAACGAAATAAACAGAAAGAATAAATCCAACTGTGAAACAGGTTATTAATTACTTGGACTTTTATTAATGCTCCGTTAATTGAATTCTCTACTGGATCATTTTCTTCTAATTCTATATCAAAGGACACTCTCGTAATTTCATTCTTCGAATGAATATTCAATGGCATGTGAAAATTGGAAGAAATAAATACAAAGAAAAAACCTTTTTTTTTTTTTAGTACAAGAAAAAACCAATTAGGGTCATTATTAAGGTGTGTTTTTAATATAAATATTTTACCATAGTTATTGTTTCTAGAAATATTCTTGGGATCCACGTTTTAAACGTTAATATGACGAATATGTATATGTGGTGGGTATATATATAATTTATTATATTTTTAATTCTGAAAAAAATAAAATTATGTTAACATAATCCTAACCATTGTAATAAAAAAAAACATAATCCTAACCATTGAATAATTACTATTATTTTGGCCATATTGCTATATGTGCCATTATCCTTTTTTTTCTTTCTTTTTTGAGATAATGAAATATGAAAAAATCATGGAAAAAAAATTATTAAATTTGTTTTAATTAATAAGTTGGTATCTTACCCTTTTCAAATAAACTATGAAACTTAATTTATCGGTGTCTAAAAAAGACTTTATTATTAGCAATGTTTTATTTGGCATGTTTGATATCTCGATAAATCATGGATATCTTGTAATATTTTTGTATGACATCTCATGTTTTACACATATCCGGGGATATATTGTACATATTGATGGATCCATTAATATAATATTAATATCAACTAAATTTGTTAATTTAAAGAAATATAAATATATCATGGATACTTCATTCCTTCATAACAGCTTAAGTTAGTGGGGTTAAGGAATTAGTAATTTATTCTATAGGTTGAAAATCCAATCAGCATATATTTGTATAAAATAAATAAATAAAAATTACAACTTGCAAGAGATGATTAATAAAGCTCTAGCCATTTATATCTAGGTTCTGCAGTTGCATGGATCAATATAATACCCAAGAGCAGCTTAGACCAGTTTAATCATGCTTCTCCAAGTTCCAAAAACAAATATACATCGCCTAATAAATGGTAATTAGTTAAAATATGATTCTCATATCACACATAACTGTTATACCATACCAACAATATTACTAACTTTACATGCAATAGAACTGATGTATTTGTAGTTCTTGCAGATTTGTGGAATTCGATCTCGACTCAGTTACGTCGAAGAGAGGCCAACCTCTTCTCAAGGTCCTCAACCTCAGTAGATTCAGAGCTGCAAGTAAATTATAATATTTGTTAGCTCAATATAATTTATCGAGATTGGAGGTTGTTAAGTAACTCAACAATATTAGTCAGAGGTTTGAATCCGTACTTCGTATGTTGTGAGCTCAAAGAAATATATATACACAAAAAAGTTAAAAGTGAGTTATAAATATAATATGGTTCAAAATTTCTCATTGTTATATCCAGCCTAGAAATGTTGTTTGATTATGCTAATTAATCTTTAATAAACAATATATACATCAGCACTCCAAATAAAACCTCCTTACCACCAGAAATTTATTTATTACAATTATTTTCCTTTCGGAACACACTAAATAATATTCTTCATATATTGCCTATTTTATATACCCTAAGGGTTATCATCTCAGTTTCCACGCCATCTGGTAGGTACCTATTGGAATTTTTCGAAAATAAATATCCCTAAAAAGGACTTGATCTAAAGGTTTTTCAGATCTTTCTTAATGTACATTTTCTTTCTAAAAGAGATGATATGAATGCATTAGGTTACCTGGTAACAGTATTTTCAGTCTTTCTCGCTGCAATCCGGCCTTTGGGTGCAGACGATAACTGTAACAAGAAAAGTCGACGTCAGACAGCAATAAACTTTTCATAATGATAAAAGGAAGGATGAAAACAGGACAGAGATTTTAAATTCAAGCAAAGCGTTCATTGTCAAGAGACCAACCTGTGATGCAATATCTACACCGATCTCATCAAGCACCTATAAAAAATAACAAAATACGAATACTCTAGTTGGTAAAATTCTGGAATATGATATGAATTACGATCAAGAGATGCAACCTTAAATATGTTGTAAAAATTTACCTGATTAGTAAGCTCTTCAGTTTCCTCTTCTGCCTCATCTTTATCTAAAGTTTCATCGATAGACTCTGACATCATTTCAATCTGGAGAAAAGAAAAAGTAGAAAACATACTGTATGAGTATAAAAAATGCAAAATCCACTAGCTCTGAGGATTGTGGGAGGTTTTGCTTCCAATACTACAAAGGCTAGTTTGGAATTCTAAAAAAAATTAATATCTAGACAATTGGCAGCATGAGATTTTTGAATGTGGAGTAAGTATACTATACTCGTGTAATGAAATAAGGAGTTTGTGTAAGATGATGGGTACAATTCAAATTTAGTCCAAGTAAAATCTCTTTCCCCCTCTCTCTCTCTTACGATGTTTCTCATAGATACAGTACAATATAATTATTTAACTGGGAAGGAATGTAAATTAGAGCGCCTTTGAAGTTACTCCGTGAAAGTCCTGTCCTACATTATGACTCTAAAATGAGGGGGTGCTTCCCCAGTATCTAACTAAGCCTCGTGATATACAAAGATTCTAGCATCCCTTTTCTTGCCTTTCAGATATCTTTCTCAAAACAGGAAGTTTACTTTGGTTAATTCTCCCTTGCCCGGGCGACAGTATAGCATTTAATATCTGTTAAAACAAGAAAAAATAGTGAAACTGGAAGTGTTACCGTCATGTCCAACTGCGCCGACTGCTTCTGGAACTCCTTTATCACTTTAGCCTGCTTTGCCGGTGCCATTTGCTGCAAAAGATGATACAATTGATCATTTGGGTATAAATATGATATCCGAACACAACAACCAAATAAATAGTGAAACTTGAATTTTACTTTATCACAACAAACTTCATCAATTATGTCGACTAAAAATTATGCAACAACCGAGATTATAGTATAACAAACTTCTCTCCATGTGTGTCATTCTTTCTTTTAAAAAAGAGTATAATATAAATTTAAGGTATCATATACTCTTCGGGGTGCTTACCTTGTTCATTGCAACCATTGCTTTTGTAGCACCTTTCATGCCGGTAGAGATTGAAGTGCTAGCATATAATGCCTGGAAAAACAAGAAGCGGCTAACATTTTCACTGAACTAAGAAAAAGGGCCAATAGGTTTCACGGTTAGGATGCTGACCTGGGTATGAGTAGCTACACCTCTAATTTGGGCACGACTCCCTTGCAAATTTGTTATCTGTTGACGTAGACGAACAAGCTGTCGAGCTAGGATTCTGGTTGCAGCCTGTAATATGTTAAGTTAAAAAAAAAAAAAAAAAATTGCAGTTATGAAAACTTTCTTACACATGCAACAATATAAATCCTAACAAAAGTGACACGAATATGTACTTCCATGTGTGCTTATTAAGATGATTAGCATCAGTAAATCACAATCTCAATTGATATTTATTTCCGAACAGATGGTAACACAGAATTCCAAATTCCTTCCTGCTACATTTGTTGTAATCTTGAAATGCAAGTTCAATTGGTGCAATTTGCACAGAATTCTAGTCAAGATAAAATATGGGAACTCTACTGTGTGGGGACAAAAACATCAAACCAACTAGTAGTTTTGAAGGGTATAGAACAAAAATGATCACAGACAAAGTCCAAACACACTGCTACCAAGTTGAAGATTTGGAATCACAAATAACTAACAGAACAGATAATCCATAAATAATATTATTGCATGGTGGTCGGAAGTTATGAAAGAGCAGCGTATTAAACATGGAGTTTAATCTACCAGTAGGGATCCAAATAAAAAAGTTAACTTGCCTCATTCCCAGTTTTAGCAGTTTGTTTTATCTCTGCCACCAACTTTTTTTCCTGAAATCAGAAAAAGTAGGGCAATCTAAGAGATAGAAGCAGGGATAAAAGGCACAGGTAGGTTACAGAAATGAAAACCCAAAGGGAGTTTGCTTCGTACCTCCAACTGAAGAGATGCAATTTCTCGTTCAATGCCTACAAAATCAATAGCCAAATAAGCCACACACGTATGAATTTCATAAAAATGGAAATCCGAGGACGAAGTGTGATGGATGAAGTAGTTAATAATCAGGGTTGAGAAGAAATCACAGGCAGGGAAAGGGAATTTTGGCACCAAGCTTTTACTTGCAATCCATCCTTTTTCCACAAAGGGCACAATTGCCAATACCTCATATATGCAATTAAATGTACTAAAAGTATGGCTATGCCAGTTGAAGGGAATGGGTAGTTCTAATTTTGTTCAATAACTTATTTTGAAAAAGGTCACTGCTATACAACTAAGGTATGAAAGAAGAAAAATGCATGGTAGTTTCAAATAAAGCGACAGGATGCTGAAGTTAATATTAACGAGAGGAGCTACAGTAAAGGGAGTACTGCTCCTGCATCACAAGCTGTCAGTGTTGCTAAAAAGTCTCAGGATAATGGCATCCAGATGGAAGGAAAATAGAAAGATATTTAAAAAGGAGATTTCACGTTGCAAACAGTTTCCGTATGGAATTGTCAAAAAACTAAATGATTTATCTTCGACACATGTGAAATAATTAAAGATCGTCAATCCATAAGGAGAATTAAGTATAGATTACAGAACTTTTGATAGAAGATATGGAGACAAAAGACCAAATAGCTGCAAGGCTCGGAAGTCGAAAGTTATAATTCCGGACGATTTTTCTCATACCCAAGGATACCCAAAGGTTTAGAAACTAAGGCATCCAAAATTCTATAAGAAGAAGGTTTGAAGTAGTACCTCTAGTTGCAACAGCCATTTCTCGCTTGCTGGTGCGAAGAGCATCTGTAATAAATAAAAATAAAAATCCATTTTTCATGTTTAATCAAGCCGCATTGAATTTATGCAGTAACCACACCCCAGGCTACTTAAGCTCTCTTAATAGTAGAAGAAAATATCATTTCAATTCAAACACAATAAGGGGAATCGAGTTTAACTCATTCTCATTATACCGTGCAAAGCCCCTACCAGTGGGCGGCAAGTGTAAATTATATCTTTAATCTACCACAGAAAAATAATCCTAGTAATTGCATAGAAAACGCCGATCATCCTCAAAACTTGCATCGAACGTACAAACTACGAAAATGAACCAAAAAAACCAACGAAATTGAGAAAGAAAGAAGGAAACGAGCATGATAAAGTGACATTGATAAATCGGATGCTAGAATGGACTAAACAATCATAAATTACGAAGCAAAATGGAGCAGATCGGAAATTAAAGAGAATTATCAGACCTTTGGGCGAGGTTTTCTTCCTGAAGATATTCATATTCATCGAGCGTCCGTTCTACTTCCGTAGCTCACTGCAGCAAACAGAGAGAGCGGAACTGAGCGTAGAAATCGAAATTGTACGCTAATCTTTACGACTGCTAGCGAAAAAGGATGAGTTGGAAGCTAAGCTAAAGCTCACACTGTGATGCCTCGAAGAACGCGCTCTAATTTCTTCTCGCTGTCTCACCTATGAATTTTGATATGATTCAATACAACGGCCGTGATCAAAGTAGCCGTTACGAGTTTCGTACTGCCTAAATTACCCTTATGGAATTTTATATTTACATTGCGTTTCTAAAATATAAAATTTTGTATTTTTATATTCCTCTCCTCCAAACGGCTCCAAAATGTCTTTTCAGATCTCAGGCGGAGGATGATGCAATTTCAATTTCCAATTCTTTTATTAAAAATATCAGTTCAATTTACTACAAATGTTTCTTATAATACGCATGAATTTAAATGGAGTTTCTCAAATTCAAAATTTCTCTCTTCACATTATAAAAACGATATATAGTTTTTTTAAATTAAAAAATGTGTTTTTAGTTACGAATTTACCTCTTGCAAATATAGCAAACGAAAATTGTTTATTGAACAATCATTCTTTTTATTGGTAAATATAGCAAAAAAAAAAAAAAGAAGAAGAAGTTTTATAATTTGGTTTTGCAATATGACATTTTTTAGTGTGACCTATTCAATCGACCAAATTCAATGTCAAATTTTATTAGTTTATTGATTTAGATACTATTTTCATCTATATATTTTTGACGTTGATCCATTTTTTTCATGTATTTTTAAAATGTTCATTTTGATTCATTAACTTTCAAATTTTGTTAATTTTAGTCTCTATATTTTCAAAAAGTTCGTTTTGATTCATGTACTTTTAAAAAGTGATAATTTTGATCCTTATTTATAAAATTTTAACACAAATTTTATATCCAATAGAAATATTGTAACACAAATTTATTGCTACATTTCAAGAAATATAACAAGTAAGGTGCATGCTAATTTTTTTTCAAAATAAATGAGATTAAAATGAAAATAAAAGAATCAAAATGGTCATTTTTCTAAAGTACAAAGACCAAAACGAACATTTTAAAAATATATAGACTAAAATAAACAATAATTGAAAATATACAAACTAAAATATAACATAGTATTTTAACCTAGTTTATTTGAGCTCTCTATGTTAAAATGGAATTCTCTTAGGCAAAATGGACCTCCTATTTTGCCAAGTGGACAATTTGGACTCCAAATAAACCAAAGCCCAAATAGAAGACTCCATTTGTTGCAAATAAGTAATGTAAGTGGATAACTAACAGCAAATCAATTAGTTTTTTGTTTTAATTACATCACAAATATAAGACATAAGATTTAAACCTAAAAAAACTACATATAGATAATGTTCGACATTTGTAGACTAACTTATCAATGGACAAATAACATGACTTTAAAATGAAAAAGAATGAATCGATTTCTAGACGAAACTAATTCAAATATGTAAAATATAGTTTTTTTTTTTTTTGATAAAATTATACAAACTTAAATCGGAGCTGGTCAACATAATTCAATCAAATTAGTTGAGTTTTTGTATTTTGAGGTTGCATTATTGTGAAGATTGTCCTGTTGTAGTGTCTCAATCTAACCAAGAAGAGAAGTATTATATGTCATAAATAAATAATAGTGTTGTTCAATTAATGATTCGTAGCAATTAGTTTAATAATGTGGAAAAAACTCAAAATGTTTGTACAACTACAACAAAATAAGTAAAATAAAATTCAATATTCCTTGTCTGTGTCTAGTCATCATATGGAAATGAGGTTATTGTTTTGTACACAAATGACAAACATATGTCTTAAAAAAACACAATATATAAAAAATTAGAGGAAGAAGGAAAAAAAAGAAAAAACAGCTGCCAGCTCAGCTCAGCTTAGTTTTCAGCAGTCAGAAGTAGTCTTCTTCTGGCAAGCGTGTGGGTGCGTGTACCAAACGTGCAATTCGTGCGGTTTTTTTCTTTGATTCTCCGTTCCAAATTGTGTCGGCCAAGGTAATCCCAAATTATATGTCGTTTTACCAAAAAGCCCCTTACCATTATTTTATCTTGTTTATTTATTTTATTTTTAATGGGTATTTCTTTGACCATCTGTCGCTTTCCCTTCCCCTCTGTCTTGTCCTCTCCCGCCTCCTTTGATTAAATTAACTTAATCCATCTATCTTATCCACACAAAATTCTCATTATTCATACTCTAATTTATATTTTAATTTCTGATTTGTTCATAACTATTTTATTATCATCTTTATACCTTCAAATCATTGCATCTTTATTCTGAACTTTATCATTAGCTTTTTTTTTTCCTTTTTTTAATCAAATAAAATAAATTTTCTTACCAGAGATTGTATAAATTTATGAAGTTATAATCCTTACAATATAAGAAGTTTATATATTTAGGTTTCTATAACATTATAGGTGAATTTATCGTACCTAATCATTTGAAAGAAGGCTCTAGGTGAAAGGATGACACAAGTTGAGGTAGGGGAGAAGGTGAGCATCCCGCCAACCCGTGGTTATTGCCTATGAAGGAATCGAGTATCCAAGGTGGTCCATCACTTTAGAGTTGATCACCCTTGATGTCTTGGTGCCGCCATGAATCATGGGGGCAATGCTAAAGATTTTTGCACGTCATTAAGTCTCCAAGAATCTCGAACAATCAACCTGATTGGCGTTGAAGACCTCGGATTAGACGATTCAAGTGGCCTGAGACCTTGGGTCACTCCCTCTAAATAAGAGGAGAAACATGTGCATGAGAGGTACCTTAAATAACAATTATTATAGCTACGCTCAATTGTACCCTTTGTCTAACTTCGAAGTGTGTGTTGGGCTTTAGTACCACATCGGTGTGTAGTATTCGGCGCTGCAGATATGTGCATTCATTCGCTCCTATCCATCATATTGATACCTCTATGACCAGGACTAAAAGCATGCGTCAACAAATTACGTCCTTAAATTTGAGATTATACATTTATATTTAGTCCACATCAAAGATAAAACCTATATTTTCAAGCACCTTTATCATTGATATTTAACTTTATATTATTTTATCATTCTCACTTTATTTTTCAGAATATAGCATTATAATTATAAAATAGAGATTGAAATCCATATATATATATATATATATATATATATTATTTTATGATTCTCACTTTATCTTTCGGAATGTAGTATTATAATTATAGAATAGATATTGAAATCTTCCACTAGAGGAAAATGTTACTAAATACTTTAATGGTTAAGATAGGCCCAAATAGATGAATCTTATATTATCTTTTTATTTCAGAATATAGCATTATAAATAGATAGGCCCAAGTAGTATAGAAAAATGTTCATACTATTATCTAACAGAACTTTTTTTTTTTTGTCTCGACACATATTGATGTGGCCAATACGAACATATAGTTCACTGAATAAGATACTAATTACCGTTCTTTGAAGTTATGGATTCAATCACACTTATCACGCTATCACAAGGGTTGAAGTATAAAAAAAAAACAATAAAATAGAATTTAAAAAGGTATAATGATGAAAGCAAATTCATAACCTAAAGATTTATTAAAATTTTATTTAATAAAGTGATGGATTCCAACAGCAACATTAATAAATTAAGAGGAAAATAAAAAGCTTGGCTTAAAAGAATATTGATTCCCATTGCACAGTACCATCAGACAAATTAAACTATTGGGGCATCATTTTCAGCACATTTTATCCCCTCCGCACATATATATATATATATATATATATATTTTTTTTTTTAATCGTGATTATTACTAATCATTAGTGCTCTAACTAAAACATTAATTATTAGAATATTAATTTAACCCCCACTTCCCCTACACGTTAAGAAACCGTTTCTATTTTACTTCTTATAATAATAATCCTTCCCATCTAGTTAGCTTCTAATTGCAGACAAACAGTTTTCCCAATGCACTCCACGTCAAATCCCTCCATGATTAGTGTTAATCAAACTCAATAATTTTACTTTTTTGTTTCCTTTGTGTGGGTTCCTTAATTTAAAATTAAAGATTTTAATATAGTTTTTGTTATCCCCAATTTTAATTGAGTCCTTGTTATTTCAACATGAGTTAGGAATTAAAAAAAATCAATAACCAATTTGACTCGTACAATTTAAACTTAGATTCAATTTGATATTCATTATTGGATTTGTAGATAGTGTAAACAAAGTCTCACATGGACTAGGAAGGGAGTGATCCATGGTATATAAGAAATAACAATTATCTTCATTGATATAGGACATTTTGGATGAAATAAAAAACAAATGCGTGAGGGTTATGCGTAGAGCGACAATATTCATACCATTGTTAAGATATTTGGGATACGAAGTGTACCGTTGCCCTTAATATTTATGCATTAAAAAGTTTTGAAACAAAATATCACAAATCATCATCATTTATTTTTTACCCACTAAAAAAATCATTCAATTTCCTTGTTTTCATCTAATATATGGAGGTGTTTGAACGAGTGTACCTACATTTCAACTAATTTTATAGGGTGAATATCGATCTAATGTTACAATATTTGGTTGGCAGAAAACAGTCATCATAGAATTTGAACTAATTTTATTTATTTATTTACTATGTCTTAAACCTAAATTAGAAAATTTTAGGGACGAAAAAAAAATGAAGCTAAATAAAGAAAGGGAAATATGTAAGTAATGAGGGGAGAGTGGGGGGGACAAGCAAGCGTGATGACAATGTTGAAATAGGAACAAAACTTTGATGGCAATTCTTTTAAAGGGAGGGCTTTAATTAACTACCTACCACTTCATTTTTCTTTTTTCTTCTTAATTTTAAATTTTATTTTTGGCGGTGTCCCCACCACTCCCCTAGGTGACACAATCACCCCTTGGGATTTCATTGTCCCTTTCATTTCGACCCCCATATTTGATCAATATATTACTTTCATCCCCCATCCTCCAAGTCCAAACAATTTAGATCTACTTTCCCACTCCCTTCTAAATATATTATTTAAAACATCACAATGTTCTCAAATAAAACAAAATTATTATTTTTAAAAATTAACATCTTGCCCTGACGTGTCACAAAAATTATTAATTTTAT